AATCCTCTAATCCAGTTCTTTCACAATTCATGCATACAGACATTAGATGAATGCCTTAAAATTAGCGTAGCCACTGGAAAAACAAAATTACGCGTCTTGCAAAAGTTTCTACAGAATAAACACCCTAAAAAGTAACGGGACTCGCTTGATGTCCTATCTGCAGGACATACACATTAAAATCAATTCCTGGCCGAGCTAGACAACCTAAACCAACTTTGTTAGAATTGTGTCAACGAAAGCCCAAACTGCAGCATGCGAGTGAATTTCTATTTTCCGGTAAGATAATGTACCATATAAAACAGAAGAATAGCCTAGCATCTACTTGCTATAATTGTGGCTCATCCATATCAGTTATTATTAGAATTCAGCACATCAGCAGTACCCATGTCCATAGGCGATGCTGTAAATGGCTTGATAGATGATCGAAGTGATTCTGGTCCCTCTGTAGTAATTCTTTGACACAATGCATCACAGTTGCTGATAACCTCAGTCAATCTTCCCTTCAATTCTCCGAGTTCCACCTGTAACGCATGAACTGCATGGATTTTCAAACAAGAAGTCAATTAGGTGAAGCTAACACAATGAAGTCTATTCTGATCCACTGTGCTTATGCGGACGGAGGACATGCCTAACCGAAGATGCACTTCCAACCATATGCAACTCACATAGCAGTTCATAGATTACCAGATTTTCCAACAACCCACGAGATCTGAATAAGGGGAGGGTCATTTAGAGCTCCTGCCAACCCCAACTAGACTCTTTTAACTTACATAGGCGCTAAAGCTTTTAAGTAAGAATTCTTGCATGTTCAGTTAACTCCGCTAGCTCGCTAATATGCAACCACCAATCTGGTAACCACCTTCATTGTTTTACTCAAATTCTAATTACCTTCTGAGAGATGGTGTGAAGTTGTCTTCATCGCAGAGACAGAATAATTGAAACGTTGAAGAAGCTTAACTGCCAATGCATCAGCAACTTCTATTTTATTTTCTATCTCTTCCTGCACGAATTACCAAGCAAGCAGCTCAGAAATCAAGTATATCCAGTCTCTGTCAATTACCATCGGCATGTCTTTGCCCCTCCCTTTCTGCCTAGTGGCTACTAACTATTTGAACCCAATGACATATCAAACAAGTACCAAACTACACCTGGTTCAACATGTTAATATAAATTACAAGAGTCTTCAGAGTCCTAGTACATCAAACTCTTAATTGGACCTTAAGCGGACATTAAAATACATAAATCGGGCCATTGGATTCTTAAATTTAAAATCAAGAGAAATTGAGAACTTGTTTCCTATAAGTAGTACGCTTCAACTTCTTACCTCCGTCGGGGTGTCACAGGAAATCTTATTACTTCAACCAAAACAACCCTCTTAAATAACAAAATCCAACAACAAGGAGAAAGAAAAATGAACAAACGAGTGATCCCATTTACCTGTCTTTTACTAATTGTCTGTGCTTTTCGCTCTTGCCAGTCACGATACATGGAAAAGAGCTCAAGCAACACATTTGGGTTGACCGTACCTATTTCAGTTTTCAACCTTTCAGGGGCAATACATGGATAATAAAGCAGTGAAATTGAAGAATCATGCAAAAAACATAAAAATAACCATTTAGCTGTTAGGAGGGGTGTCTATCATAAACTGCAGCCAAAAGCACAATTAGAAACTCAGGAAATTAAAATTTTGTTCCATCACACATCCAAGGACTTTCAATATGCCAACATTGATGAAGGCTGTCAACTAACAGGAATTCCCATAATGAATTGCAGTCCAATACATAGCTAGAGTGCATACTCTTCGACAGCAAACTATATGTTTGGTAACCAAAGAATTCAATCAAAGGATAACAGGTTTTCTCCAGAGACTCCTTTTCAACAAGGGAACAAGATTTGCTTCCAAAGGTTTTGTTATTTAGAAGTTGTTCTACAGGATTATCTCGACTTAATTCCTTAAAATACCACATTCAGGCACTGCAATATTATTTTTCATCCATTAAGCATCTTCCAGCATAAAATATCTGAGACATATTTTAAGTAGGTGGATTTAGCTCATTTGTTCTCTGCATCAGTTCTTCCATCGGATCAGATGGTCCAATTTTTACATTATATATATATATATATATATATATATATATATTCCCCAAATCCAGTCTAAATTTAGTTCTGATGCAGTTCTATGGTTAAAATAATAAATTAGGACATCAATCACTCTTTGAGTATTGTAATAAATTTTCAAAATACTCAAGGCTAAGCATTATCACAGAATGTCAGAAAGCCTTTTTTTTCAAAATTGGCAGAAGCTTTTCTCGTTTCAGACTTCAGAATACTAAATGGAGAACATTTGGGAAAATTGATCATTACAACTATCATTTTGTGGCATGAAATCAACAGCAGTTTTATGCAAAAGCACCCAATCAATACCAAGTCGTTGCTTGTTCCAGCATATACAAGTTTCAAGAATCCAACGTAACATGAGTAAAGCTTTTCAAGTTCAGAACTTAGGGACCAAATGATACAATACAATGAGAACTCAAACCAAACAGGAAAGCTCCCCTTAATTACTTGAATTTGAAGAAGATGAAGCTTTCCTCACTAGAATATCCGTCAAGCTAGTCTCTGCCGGCGTTGACGTTAATATTGGAGTTGCCTATTCACAAACATTTACAAATTACACGTAATTAAAACCGACTGATGTGATATTAAAGTAATACGGTGACAAAAATCGATAATCCATTAAAGCAAAAAAGCTCAAAAATTGGAGTAGCAGCTCACAATTTTAAGGGATTTGAGCTGCTCTATGACAGGATCCACAATTTCTGACCGCTCCGATACTGTGGTAATCTCATCTCCAGGTCTCTTCACCCATGAAAAATATACAAATTAAATAAATAAAATAGCAATAATAAAATGCTATCGGAAAAGGTAGAGCTTATTTCAGGTTAATTGAATTTGAGGGGATTACTTGGGAGCTGGAGAGACTTGACTCTGACGCGCCCATCTCTATTTACTCTTCAGAGAGGAGGTGCTTTATTGTGGAGTACTTCCTTTTCTGGGCTCGTATGTTGTTCTGCTTCATGGTCCTCGTTTCTCGGTTCGAAAGGTCCTGCTACAAGGTTTTTTGCAGATATCGAAAACGACGTCGTTTTGGAAGCCAAATTCAATATTTTAACATATTTACTTGTCACATTCTTTTTTAGGAAAAAAATTTGGAAAAAAGGGAAATAAGAAGAATTGAAATTCGTAGTGTAATTTTGGGATACTTGTCACTTCGGGGAGGGATAGGTTGTGGGTGATTTGAAGAAGATAATATACATAAGAAATTTTAATTTTGAACCAGATCACTTACACTTAAACAAAAGATGTGAATTATTATTTATGAATTAAAAAAAGTAAATATATCTATTACCCTTGTAACAATCTGTATTTCAATTAATTGTAGTGTACATCATAAATAAAAATGTGAACTTTAGATTAGCAATAATTTCATAAATTTTATTTGCATGATGGATTCTTTTATTCTTTATGAATAATAACCCATATCCCCTCTATAAATATCTCAAAAACTACCCCTTAATTATGGATTTCAATTATTATTATAATTTCCTTTCTTAAATTTTCCCAACAAAAATGAAAAAATTTTATACTATTTATATAATATAGTGCAATATCATATCATAATCACTTCTGTTTCAAGGTTATTATAATTTCAGAAACCTCCCTTGGGGTTTCTAGTAATTTTAGACAACTCTCCTCACATTTTGAAAATTACACATACCTCCCCTAGAACATAGGTTTGGGTTTCACCTTGATGATGTAAAATTAAAAAAGTATATAAATGCCCAAAATTGCCCTCATTTAAAGTTCCTTAGTATGAATAATCATAAAAAAATTTTAAAAGGCAAAACATCAACAAAAGTGCAAGTTTGGGATAATAATTTTAGTACAATCTATCAAATTATACTTTCCTGTAATCCAATAACTTTTTTATATTCAATAATATGAACAATTGGGTTGTTGACAGTGATGATTGCTTCCATCATGATCAATAGCAATAGCGTATTTGAGTGATAGAAGGAAGGAGACAACTACCTTGATTAGCATATTTAAGTGATAGAATGTTACAATTTTTATGATTATAACTGAAATTGTTTGGCCACAATATATGGCCTGGTCAAGAAGAATGGTTTTCCATTTTTCTGTTATTTTTTCCTTTTTTTATCAATGACTTGTCTTTTGAAAAATTATAAAGGTTATTATAGTTATTGTCTATCATCAAGGGAGGTAAATTATCCCTAATTATTTTGAATGGAAGATAGATTTGGATTGGATGATAAAACAAGAGAAAATATAAATAAGAGGTTTTGAGTTCACAACCCCACTCGTAAAAAAAGTTATTTACTATTATCGTTTTTGCCAAATATATATATATATATATATATGTGTGTGTGTGAAGCAACTTCATTTTGGAAAGCCAATTCAATATTTTAACCTATTTTGTTTTTACAATCTTCTTTAGGAAAAAAATTTTGGAAAAAGGAAATAAGAAGAATTGAAATTCATAATGTAATTTTGGGATATTTGTGACTAGGATATGGGTTACTATTATGGATTACAAAAAAGAAAATAAATTTATCGTTGGATGAATAAAACTACCCTCGCAATAATATGCATTTCGGTTAATTATAGTGTGCATCTTAATAAATAAAAATGTGAACTTTTTAATTTCATAAATTTATTTGCAAGATGAATACTTTTACTATTATTTATGAATAATAACCCATATCCCCTCCACAGATTTATCAAAAATTACACCTTAATTATGCATTTCGGTTGTTACCACTTTACCATTTCCTTTCTGAAAATTTTCCCAAAAAAGGAATAAAAAAAATGAAAACCTTTACGGTGTTTATGGAATACAGAGCAACGTCGTATCGTGTCCGACTTCAGCTTCTGTCGGTTACCAGTATAAATGACCAAAGCGATACGATTAGATTATCGAAGCTGCCTTCCCCGCTCTCCAAGTCTCTCTTAACTGTATAGGGTTTTTGACAATCCTCCCCCGGTATAAACCGATTGTAACTGTTACAATTCAATCAAATTATGAGAACTCGAAATACAGGCGCAACACCGAAGAAGACGCCGCCGGCGAAGAAAACATCCTTAAAATCACAATCCACGCCCAGCTCCGCCGAGTCCGCAGCATTGGCTGAAGCTCCGGCGACGTCGACCTTACCACCCAAGTCCTCCGAAGCGAGACCTAGCCCCGCCCTCAAAGGACAGCAAACTAAGCCCGTCGAGACCATAAGCGCTCCCGTAACCACCGCCCTGCCTACGCAGGAACCAGCATCAGCAGGTGATATTTGGATTATTCTGATTCTGATACAGTTTCATCCATATTGATAATAAGTTTAACTTATTTCTTAATAAAATTTAGGTTTATCTACTTAGATGAATTGTAAGTTTTGAGGTTGTCTGCTTCAAGTAGGTATATAGGCTCTTGTGATTGTCAAGAAAAGCAATTTTGCATTGCGCATAAAGATTTCCTTGACATCTAGTTGTTTCTCTGATTATTTTGAGTTACAAATTTCGGGAATTAGGGACTTTTTGTTGCCAGTAAATTCATTTTAGCTTCTAATATTCGGACATATATATATATATATATTTGTTTGCACATTCACTGCAATTAAGTGTGAGTTTCTAACTTATTTATTTCTTGTGCAGTTGAAGGAGCAAAAGCAACGAATGATGGTGCTGTTCAGGTGACAGGGGAAAGTAAACCTGCTTCGGGGACGAAAACTACTAAAAGAGTTGTAAAGAGGATCATAAGAAGAACTGTTGCTAGACCAGCTTCTCGACTGAAGAAAAGGTCTGGGGAAGCTGAAAATGCAATAGCTGATGAATCCAAGAAGGAGAATGATGTCTTAGATGCTGCAAATAGAGGACCAGTGGCAAAGGGTGCTGAGACTGCTAAAAATGATGGAATTAGCCTTGGAAATATTGACAGACCAGTAATAAGCGTAGGACCAAACGTTGACAAAGTTGAGGGAGTTGATGAGGAGAAAATTTTTTTGCATGTTGAAGAGTCATTGAAGAACAAGGCAGAAGAATCAGTCACGGAAAGTGCACCATTTGATCAGAAAGAACAGGGATCGACTTCTGTAGATTCTGAACATTTTGAGGACGATGTACCTACTAAACCAAATGAGAAAGAGAATATGATAGACCAACAAGAGGAGCAGGAGAAACTTATTGAGGATAAAGTGGAGAACATGACTGAGGAAGATAAAATGGAGGAAGACCCCAAAGAAGAGATGACTGACTTTGATGGTCTTTTAGCAGAAGCAGATGATGACAGATCAGAGGCTGATCAAGAGATTCATGATGAACTTGGCCAAGAAGAGTTTGCTGAAGATGACAGGATAGGGCAAGGTGAAGAAGCTTTGGAAGAGGAGCGTGCGGAACTAAATGCTGCTGCAAAGGAGCGTAAGTTGAGGAAAGAGCTTGAGATTTTTGTTGGTGGGTTGGATCGTGATGTTACCGAAGAAGATCTTAAGAGGGTGTTTAAATATGCTGGAGAGGTGGTTGATGTCCGCCTACACAAGGATCCCTCCACCAACAAGAATAAGGGTTATGCATTTGTCAGGTTTTCAACTAAGGAAGAAGCAAACAGGGCTTTGTCGGAAATGAAAAACCCTGTTGTAAGATGCATCTTTAGATGGTGTGCTTTGACTCACACACTGAAAAATTCATTCTCTGTTGCAGACTTATGCACTTTCATATACCTGAAAATTGTATAAATACTCAATTATTGGTTTGTAATGCAGATACGTGGGAAGCGATGTGGGACTGCTCCAAGTGAGGACAATGATACGTTGTTTGTTGGCAATATTTGCAATACATGGACAAAAGAAGCTGTAAGATTAATATTTATCTTTGGATGGTGCACTTTTAGAAATTTTTTTTTCTAATTCTATCATAACCGATGGCAGATAAAAGACAAGCTGAAGGAGTATGGCATAGAAAGTGTTGAAAGCATCACTCTTGTGGCAGATCCCAAACACGAAGGGCTGAGTCGCGGTTTTGCATTTCTTGAGTTTTCTTGTCATGCAGAAGCTATGCTGGCATACAAGAGACTTCAAAAGCCTGATGCTATTTTTGGCCATGCTGAGAGAACTGCTAAGGTGGCTTTTGCTGAACCTCTGCGTGAGCCAGACCCAGCAGTGATGGCCCAGGTTAAATCAGTATTTGTTGATGGGCTTCCTCCTTATTGGGATGAAGATCGAGTTAGAGAGACATTTAGACGTTTTGGGGAGATTGCACGTGTAATGCTAGCTCGTAATATGTCTACAGCCAAGAGGAAGGATTTCGGGTTTGTTGATTTCACTACACATGAAGCTGCTGTTTCATGCACTGAGGAAGTAAACAACATGGAACTGGGTGATGGAAACTCAAAGGTATGCTTCAATTTTTTGCGATCTTAAAGGGCATCTGCAGCTAGTGAGTCTTGCAATTAACAGTGATGGTTTTGTTTGATTGTATGTGAGTAGTTCTACCAGCATATATTAACATAGTACTGCACAACCCCATAAATATGTCCATTTCTAATCTCCATCCATCCAAATCGCATCTTAGAACTATTTCAGTGACCTATGTTAATATCATGCTTTCAGAACTTTGACACGCATTTCTTGACATGACCCAGAGGATGAGTCATGATAATTTTGTCCTGTTTGTTACGTAATTTCTACTAGATGCAACCTCTTCAGCTTTTGACATTTTCTTCTCTGTAATTAGGCAAAAGTAAGAGCAAGACTTTCAAATCCGTTGCCTAAAACTCAGGCAGTAAAAGGCAGTATGTCTGGAGGTTTTAGAATAGCTCGAAGCAGTGGCGGGACTTTCCCCAGATTTGGTATGGAAATTTTGTCGACTTCTTTTATATTCAAATACTCAATTGCAGTATGACGTGGTCTTGTGCTTTCAGGAAGGGGTTTTGGTCGAGGTGGTCATGCCTTCGATCGACCAAGCTTCCAGCATGGCAGGGGTTTTTATCCACGTGGACCTGGACGTGGTGGTAGAATTGGTTCTCTAAATGATCGTGAACTTGATAATGAATATCCCTTGCATGGAAGGCAAAGCTTTGCGCATGGTTAGATATACAATTTCACACCCTTTGCATGGAGGAGGAGAATTTTTATGATAGTTGTTAGCTTATTTATACAAGATCAAGAACCATTTTTTTCCTATTTCCCTGCTGGAGCAAGTTTATGATGGACTCTGTTGCATAAACAGGAGGAAGGTGGGGTTTCAGGCCTCAACAAGGATATAGTGGAGGTCCGCTGCCACGTCGGCCTGACATGGATAGAAGTAGACATGGTGGCCATGGTGTTCATGATCCACTGAGGAGGCAGCCTTTCCCTCCAGAGGAAGGATTCAATGAGCCATATTTTCGAAGACACTTTGATGACCCCTATTATTATGATGACCCTGCCCATGGAATTAAACGACCGTATTTTATGACAGTAAGCTAGAACAGAAACCTTGGGATAAGATATGTGAGGAAATCAGATTCTTCAATTTTTTTTTTCCAAGTTAACAATGTTTCTTTTTGTTCCTAGGATCAGGATCCAGATTATGTGGAGCCAAGCACTCGTCGCCCTCGGTTTGAGTATCCTGACGCTTCAGCTTCTTTTCATGGAAGTCGTTACCGAGGTTCAGAAATTCCTATTATGTTCTTAAATTTTGCTTCTTGATTTGTAATCACTTCTCATAACACTATGCTTGTTTCCTATTTGATGTTAGGTGGGTTTGAAGCTGATCGTGGGCCTTATCGACAAGATTACTATGGCTCTGATGTGCGTATGATGGTCATATTCCTTCCACAATGCATTCTACGTCTTAACAGCTTTATGATTTGGACTCTTCTCTTGCTATTTTGCAGCATGGTGCAGGAGCATATCCATCATTTTATGGAGGTGATCGTCCATATGGACGTGGATATTACTATTAGACATGATGAACTTTAGGTAATACACTTGCACAACTGCGTATAGGTGTTCTTGTTGGGTTGTTCACACTTAAGTTTTATGGTTTTTGCATTTTTCTTCAGGTCTAGTTCGTACGGCTGCTGCTGGGATGTGATTCTGTTTTCTACTTTTTCCTCTCTCTCTCTCTCTCCCTCCCCGTTTTTGCTGTATCATCTGGTCTCTTGTCTCTCTACCTCTTACCAATCCTGGTTGTCATATAATATTTGGTCTTAGATTGTCAGCCATGTCTCTTGGATGGACGTTTGTAGATACTGGTACTCAGTTTCTAAGTTGGAGACTTAAATAGGTATGAGCTCCTTTTTTTCTAGGTGGAAGCAGTTTGGGGAGTTAGCAGTCCAGATGAGGAAGACACTTGCTTTCCTTGTTAGTAATAACCCTTTTATGGACAAAAAGTACATGTTTTGATTCTGTTTCAAGGGAATAAGTTGGGCATGCTATTGTCCTTTGAGGTGATAAAGATTCAGCTCAAGTTATTTTATTTATGGTTGTTGCATAATGCTGCAATGATGATGTTAAGTTGACAACTTGGTGGAGATCACCTTGATGGCATATTTTAGTTCAACTTGTAGGTTTTGATTTTATGTTTCTGTAACTCAAGTATAGATCTTTTCTAAGCTGTAATTTGAGCTTAAACACTTTATTACTATATTATGGAGAAGGAATATATTTTCTCTGGCATTTTGTGGTTTTTTTGGGTAAATGTGAGGTGCTGCTGAGTTTGATTATGAACGTCTATATTCAGGTAAACTATGCCTTTGACAGGAGTTGTTTTCTATTGGTGATAAAACTTATACCGCAATGACGGATTTATCATGTATAGACGTTCTTAAAAGTGTCAGTGGATTGAAGCAACAATTATGTAGGCATTGACACTCTCTTAGTCGATCATTGTGGAGTTTTCTACCTCTTTGGAGATACATGATATGTGATGATTTTATATTACCTTACCAATTGTATCAGAGGTTAAAAGATTACATAAGTCAAGCCTATTTATAAGAGCATGATTTATGACTCTGAATAACCATGCAGTATTCTTTTAATCAGATCCAGTTTCTTCTGTAGCTTTGAAAAGGATATGAGTTGGACTTTGTGATTTGCTGGTTACGATATGCTATGGTTATATATGTAATAGAATTTTGCTAGGCTTGAGTGCACTACATTTTCTTGGTTAAAAGGCATGAAGGTCTAAACTTAAGATGCGGTTACTGCCTCTTTGTAGCTAAAGCTTTATTAGTGATTATCATATCAAATTCCTGCTACTAAGTAGTTTTGATGCTTACGTAAACTAGTAAGTTTAGCAGGTATCAGTGCCCAGTATCCCACATTCAACTCATTTTGAGGTTAAGTAATCATATGATAAATGATTGAGGTTTTTTGGCTTTTAAGTTTCCCCCTGATGGATGGGCATTTGGTGCTACCGTTAGTGTACAAAGGGAATGCTTTGATGTAGGGTTTAATATGAGATTGGGAAAACTATTAGACTCTGAAGTTTGATAGCAAAACAAACATGAATTGTAGGAGTCAGATACTGGATGGATGTATGATTAGTCTTTCATGAATGCACAAAGTCTCATAGAGACAGAAATAGTTACTTCGATGTAAAAACCTATCATCCAAGAGTTTTATAGAAGATTGAAATGCGTAGTCTCACATGCAACTCATATTGAGGTTAAATGGTTATATTGTAAATGATTGAGGATGCTCTTTGCTTTTCTTTTTTTTTTTCCTTTTTTTTCCCTGTTCTACGTGGATGAGCATTTGGTGCTGTCTGAAGGGAATGCTTTGTTATCTTGCGAACATAGGTTTTTTTTTATTTTTTTATCAGATTGTGGTAATTGTTAAATTATGAAGTTCAATGTCAAAACAAACATGAGTGGTTGGAAATAGATACTTGATTGATGTTGCATAAGTCGACAATGTCCTGTAGTCGACATTAATAGCTACTTTGAAGAAGAAAAATTTGTTATCCAGACGGATTACCTGTAGGAACCGTAGTTTTTATCGAAGATTAAAACTGGAGAAAGATCCTGTTTCTAGTTTTCTGGGCCTTTTGATGTTTCATTGTGGTTTTTTAGACATTCATTTCATCTTTCATTTTTATTTTCCTAGTTTATTTTATCTTTTTACAAAATACTCCTGAAGGAAGGAAGGTGGTACTGCTGGTGTCTGAGGACAAATTTGGCCAAATGAAGTATTGTTGAGTTTTGCATGGTAAATGATATATAGGAATTGTGGTTGCATGGTAAATGATATATAGGGATTGGAACCACAAGAGGCTTGCTTGGAGTTGTATTAGTCTGCATTGGCTGGTCTGGCATGTTTGGTTTAATTACTGTTGATTGTCTAGCCATTCTGGTTGTGTACTCGTTGTCCAGTCTGGGATTCACAGCATAGAAGTTGTCCTTTTCTGGCCTTGTAATTAATGTGAATTAACAACCTTGATATAGATTGGCATTTGATTTTATAATATTAGGCATTGATTATGCAAGTCTGTCTCTAAAAGGTTGGTTGGTTGGTTGAATGTTTTTAGCTTCGCGAGGAGGGTTTTAAAACCCTGGAAGTGCCTCTGTTATGGAGTAGACCTTGGGTTTTTTTTTTTTTTAATGTTTAAATAAGTCGCATGAGTGTGGAATCTGAATTTATTTGCTTTCCCGGATTGTCGAGTCTGTGATCAAGTCTAGCGTTGGCTTGATCACTGCGCGTCACGGCACGTTTAACTTTATCGGATCTAATATAAGTATTCAATTTGGTGGCTGAGATTTAATAAGTCAATTTCTCTCTTTTCTCAAGAGAGTGCAAACATTTTTTCCCAGGCTCAGAAGGTGTAGAATTTGAAGATGCTAGGGAATTAAATTTTTCAAAAAAAAAAAAAAAGGACAAATTGAAGCTAATTATTCTCCACAGCGTGGCAATCCAAATGAGAATATGGAAAATTGGGACTTTGAAACATTTTCCGAGTCTGAATGGCTGATGGCTTCTTGCCTTGAGGATCAAATCCACGGTCACGAAAATTTGCCCTAAAAAATGTGCCACCTAGCGTTGAAGAGTCCTTCGCGGATTTTCAATTTTCTGAAACAAGAATAAATTTATATCAATTCAAGTCAAATGCAAAGGAAAAGTTGCCCGTCTATTAGCCAAATCAGAAAACCAATCTGGAGTCGGGGCTTACGGCTGGAACGCGAATGCGTTTTGTGCAAGCGTGGACAATTACTGAATTCGTAATTTTTCAAGAAACTGCTTCCAATTACTTGAAGGTGAAAATAAAACGTCTTGGACTGAAAAAAAAGAAAAGAAAGAAAAACAACTGGTATTGAAGGTGCCAAATTACAGCATTCGCTCCGGTGGTAAGATTTTGCAGCTTCAGGTTCAATTGGTATATAGCTGTTTGAGTATTCAGATTTCATATACATAATCTTTCTCCCCGTATCATGTATGCCCAACAACAAATTTTTGTCCTAATCCATAGCAACACCAAACAAAATACAACAGAACATGGAAAACAAATTTTGAGCTCTGTATATTTTCCTTTCCATTGTTTATAATCTGGGATTTGATGAGCACCAGCAGAATTCAGAGTTGAGCCCCTCCAATATCTCCGCTAATGGGCGGTATAAGATTGCACCATACATAAACCGTCCAACATGTGTGCAACACTGACAGCAGGTCATTCTGGAGTCACTTCAAGGTGCTATACCGATTCGTGCCATGCTTTGCCCAATGGTCCTTCAGATCAAGTGGAGCAGAGTACAGGTCATGACCCTCGGCAACAAGTCGATTTAGCAATTTATTGAAGGCACTTCCACTCATCTTTCTGCCACCGACTCTGGTATACCGCTTATTAGATACCTGAGGTAACGGATACACAGACATGGTCGTTGTACAGCAAGCCGACTGCCATCCACCATTCCCCCACTTATAACAAGGCTGGGGTGTTCCAGTGCAGGAGCAAACTGGCACTGGCATGGAAGTTTCGTCAAAGTTTATTTGATTCAAGCCTATATTATCCTTCCACGTACCAAGATGCCCTTCTAATTCTTCCTCGCGTTTCAAATCATGGCCAGCATTCCAACCATTTGATGAAGCAGGAGTTAGTGGCTTAATCATGCCTTCAGCCCGTCTTTTAGGCGACCTTGGAGACTTGACTGATTTTGTCATCTTACCTTCCTTTGGCTGCCTCACTTTCGTGGCTTTCGCAGTTTCAGAAGCAACTTGTGTACTATTAAAGGTCTCACTAGTTAGAATATCTCTAGGACTAAATGCAGCATTAACCATAGCGTGATGCATATGCTGGTAATGCATGTCTTCGGTTCCATCTGCAACCCCATCCTCAGCGGAGTCAGAAAGCATATTATTTACAGAGCAGTCCCTTATTTGCAGAGCAGCAATGGCCTCATCTCGTTCTTGTATGGCAGAATTACGTTCAGCAATAGCTGCATCCCGCTGAAGCATTGCCATGTCTCTCTCAGAGAAGGCCCTCTTTCTCTCCTCCAGTGCCATGTTCCTTTCCCGGATGGCCGCATCTCGCTCAGCCGTGATGGCCATATATGTCTTTATCGATAAGTGATTGTGGTCCTTGGATTAAAGCACAAGATATCAAGCACAATCAGGTATCATTGTGACAGTTTGACAACGAAGACTTCAAAGGCGAAAAGAGAAATGAGAAAAAGCATTATGCAAGAGATATTAAGCTAGCCAGTCAATTATTAATTTATTAAGGTACAGGATTAATAAATTTGTATCTGAAGTTAATATTATCATGTAGTCATCTTTGATTCCATGTATCAATTGCAACAAGATGTAAATCAAGACAGGGTAGTAACCATGCAAGGAGTCAATCCCTTCTTAATAGCACATCAACCATCATTAGTTAAAGCATGTCAAGTGAAAGAATGTTAAGAAACAGAAATGTGAGAACTGGACGGTGAAAAGTACAATCTCATACCATCACTAGCCAAGCTGGTGAAACTAATAATCCATTTCTGAAAAGGAAATATCTGCAGAAGGAAAAATATCACTTCTTAGACAATCTGAAAACTAAAGAAAATATTCCAAAAATGCAGATCGTAAAACAATAAAGCTATCAGAAGCTCGAAAATGTTCAGTTGATGAGTCATTTCTGGACTAGATATTGTTGATTAAATACTAAACATTTCATTTGTCCAGACTAATACTACAGAATCTTAACTTTGGAAAGTACTTTGCAGTCACCCAGAGCTTGAGCTACACTTTGTTGAGCACATGTAATAAGTTCGCTGAACTTTTAGTAGGATTGGATGCATGCGATAAAAATAACTAAAAAATTCAACATCTAGCAAAACATATAACAAGTTACACCTTCAAATTCATACAGTGTTCTTGGACGTTCCCAATGAGACTCAAATATTCACCCTAAATTACCTCAAAACTCATAATTCTTTCTTCCCAACATAGCCGTGCCCCCCCCCCCCCAACTCCTCATTGAACCACCAGCTATATTTTTGCTTTCCCAGTTCTCCTAATCAAGTAGCCAAGCACAAATACAGCACAGAACGGTATCTCTTACAGTTGGACTCATGAGTCAAAGACTAAATAATACTCCTATACTGTGAAGGCACTTACTGACAAATTTGGAGTTGGAAAGTTCAGAAGCCAATTTTACAGCAAACTTAAACGGCATAAAGTAATTTCAGGAAATAAAAGCAACTTTAGTTCTAAAAGCTACATAAACACATACTGTATTAAGTACAAACAAGCACCAGACTAAAAGTAATTTCCAGATCATTATGAAAAAGTACATCTGCAACAGCTAATTTAAACCTCTAAAAACGTAATATCACCAACATGAAAACCAAAAGGTAATCCAAAGAGTAATGAACTAAATCATTGACCAATTTCCTGTACTCTGACTTACTCAACTATTTGCATAATTCAGAAATAAACGCACGACGTTCTTATGATAAAAAATAAGTAATGCAGCTTCATCTAAGCTCTTTTTTCACACAGCTAAGATTTCAAAAAATAAAAAAGAAAAATCCGAGAAGACTTGTATGAAATCTGAAATGCAGAAGATCGGAAAGCTAGGTTAAGAGTATGCGCCGGAAAACGCCTAAAATGAGGAAATGAATAAGCAACTAAGCAGATCGGAATGTCTAAATGCGAAGCAAAAAAAAAAAAAAAAACTTGATTTGATTCGTCAAGACTTACACGAGAGACAGAGCTGAGAGAGATGACGGAATGCAGCCAGATTCTTCGCAGCTCTGCTCGAGAGGGAGAAAGAGGTTGAGATTCGACGGCCGAATCCTCCTCCTCCCTCAGTCTTTTACTACTAGTTTTTTTTTTTTTTTGGAGCGTTCGATTTTTGTAGCTGTAAGTTGTAGTAGTATAAACGGTGAGCGTAGCGGGTTTTAAGAGGGGAAACTATGGCGTTTTTGGGTGGTTCGAAGACCGAACAGCGGCCGTTTTGAGTATGAGATCTTACAATGGTCGCTTATTTAACGGGTCAGCGTTTCTCTGACGTCGTAATTTGAACTTTGAACCGGATAACAAAGAGGAGGTGTAGGTCTCTTTTCAATTTGGGTTGACGCTTCTGCTTAATCGCTCCCATGATCCTAATCAGAACTGCCGGTAATCTTTCTTTGGTCAGTATCTACTTACTACATTAGTTCGGTAAGAGAAAATTTAATGAAGCTGATTGAATCAATTGTCGGTTTCCAGTAACAAACCAAGGAATAGCAATAGATGATTCAGAATTAAGGGCTTGTTTTAGATTGATTATTTTAAGTGATTGTAAATTATTTTGAATAATCAGTTTTTGTGATGTTTTCTATTTTTTTTTTATTCTGATTATAGATTTTTTAATGATAAAAAAAAACTAAAATCTATAATCACCTAAAAAGTAGCTATTTTACCTGATTGTAAATTGTTTTGAATAATTAGTTTTTGTGATGTTTTTCGATTCCTTTTGTATTATGATTTTTGGTTTTTTAATGATTAAAAAAACTAAAATCTATAATCACCAAATGAGTAGTTGTTGCTGATTGTGATTGTTCTGTATGAT